TCGCTTAAACTTTGAATGCAGGATGGGTTGGATGGTCGGATGCTTGGATGAGTGGTAGACGCCTGGATGTGGCTTGTGTGACAATTGAATGCAATGACTCTCTTGAATGCAATGACTCTCTGGAATGCAATGCAAGCCCGGAAGGATTAAGGGCAGTCATGGATAGGTGCATGCAATGCTAGTGGGTCGAGCAAAAAAAATATAGCGGGTAGGGGTCCGGGCGATGTCACCCCACCCCAAAAATGCCGGAGGGGCTTTCTTAAGCCACTAGACTTAGTGAAAAGGTGCGTGACCCAATGGACGACGCTTGGCCTGCGCATGATAAGAAGACAAACCTTCAATGAACTCCCTGGACTGCTTGCGTATTGGAAGGAGCAATTGCCTGGCCAGACTTAATCGAATCAAGAAAACGCCGCGAGTGACCAAAGAGCTACCATCTTGACGCGAGAGCGGAGCTACATCCCCCAATGTAAAGCCCTCTCGCAAAAGACCCATCCCAATCCATCTCATAGCACTAGGTGGGGTTGCCCCTGGGACGAACGACCCGCGCCCTGAGCGTGAGCGTGGGCGGGTCGAGCCAAACGGGACCCGCAGTTGGGTCGACCAAGGCTCGAAAGTCCTTCAGGCTAAGGCCCCTACAAAAATGATGGAGGCGCCGGGTATTGGGTTAAACTAACCTGTACGGTCTCGAGGGGGGTGCTCGACGCATGACCGTGAACATAAACATGAAGATAAGGAATATGGATTTGTGTATGCTCTATCCCTTCAGTGAATCAGATTTGAGGGTGGCTGGGCGCATGGCAAGTCCAGGCCTGGAGGAATGACATGCATGCTCGCACGCTTGATCAGCCATCTCCCCTGGAGGTGACTCTAGTCCTCCTTCCTTCGGGCTGATGTTCGTTAGACCGGGGAAGCCTTGGGCAAGCCGTAGGTCGACCCTTCCTCTTCGTGTGAAAGAAGGACTCCGGTTACCTGGCAGGCGATTGGGATTCCGGGCTAGTCCGGATTCCGATGAAAATCCCGCGGCGGAGTGATCCGACCGACATGGGTGCTCTCTTTCCTTTTCTCCGGAGCCCAGCGGGCTCCATGCACCACACTTAATGCTTGAAGGAACCTCATATGAACACAAAGGGTAATCGAGAAGGAACAATCTTGCCCTATGAACGGACACACAAGCGAAGATAAGGGAATGAAGGGAGTTGCTAGACTCCGAGGAAAACTAGCTCACCTTTGAAGATGCTCACGAGAAGGAACCGGACACTATGTATGGAAGTTAGGGGTGAGTGGCACGCACTGTCTCGAGAGAAAAATTGTGAGCTATGGGTAGGAAGCGCTGGGTGCACCAGGGGAAAGACACTTATGTTATGTGTGTCCCACTTGGGACTTGTGATTGTATGATTGGGATTTCGAGCGTCCTGCTATTTGGAAGGAAAAGGGGGGTCTGCAACGGCCACTGTGGGTTGCCAAACATCGTTCTCTTTGCAGACTGCCGTTCGTTCGTATGCGGGGGTCAGGCCACCGAGCTGTCTAACGGGAGTTTGTCACGTCGAGTGCTTATTAGCATTCTCGTCCGCGCGGTGACGGGCTTCGGCTCGATTGATCTGCCGGGCGGGGTGTGAAACGTTCCTCAGACGAGGCCTAGCCTGTGGACTGGCGGAGGGAGCACCACTGCATTGGGGCAAAGACGGAGCCTGAGAGGCGATCAGTAGCTTCTCGTAGCCTGGTTTGGGAAAGGTTGTTCCTTATCGGACCGATGGAAGTGAATGCCTGGACGACTGACTCCAATGGTCTACCGAGATGTGCGGGGTGATTCCCGAGATTAACGGTGGGCACACGAGCGGCAAGTCGGGATGGGGTATTCTGGGCAAGAAGGTGAGGGTGACCCCCCACTGGAGTCTTGGTTACGCGCTCGCGATGGTTGAGCTGTGCTTGAGGTATGGGGTAAAACCCTGTCGATGGTAACAGCGGAGAGACCACTTCGGGAAAAGGCCGGTGAGGAGATGACCGACCTGTGTGCGATGACTGCTTGGTTTTTCTTTTTGTACCTCTCCCTGTGAAGCTGCCTGATGAGTGTTGGAAGGGGAACTAAGTTTCTAGTCTATTCTCAACCCTGCCTAAGTCTGCATGAGTGAGAGAACATGAGGAAGAGGCTGGATAGGAGTCGGAAGAAAGTGGAACCAAGAAAAAGGAATGCGAGTCACTGGTGATCGATTGGGGGTATGGTAGGGCAATGACACCTCGGAAATGGATAAGAAAAGTTAGGGAGACCCGGATGAGGGGTCTGAAAACAACTCTCATCTAGAAAAAAAAAGAAAACCATCTGACCATGAGGGGCCGTGTGGTGCTCTCATGTGGAAACAGAACAAGCGTCGGGAAACAAGATGGCGCGATGGTTGTTGCCTCCTGTCTACTCTAGTGGTCCGGAAATGCCTATAGAGGTAAGGGATGGGATATTTGTTGTTCTCCCGGAAGAAGGGACGTGGACCGACCTAGAACCAGCCTATGAAACCGTGATACTGGACGAGAAGGACGCGTTCCTCTGGATAGAGACAATTTGGACTAAGGTCAGCCTGACGAGACTTTCACCTAGCCTGATGGACTCAGAATTCCGGGGAACAGTGGAAGCCCGAGGATGGGTCTACCTTTCATAGGAATTGGAAAATGCAGTGGTAGTGGGACTAGTACTGGGCACGGCACCGGATCAGCTGTTTAGGCAAGCGGAACGGGAGGTGGTATGGGCAGCATGTCAGCGGGCAGAAATGGAGATGGAAAGGATGGACGTGCAAGTGGAACTCGGGGACCGGAAAAATATGAGATGTCCTCTTAGGACAATGAGGTGCGTGCTACCCCCGTTTCTGGTGGATGCAGTCTTTGGGACCAGGGATAGACTGGAACGTATATGCCAATTGATGACATGCCTGAGGCTGTACCAATGTGCTAGACAAGACTTCTTTAGATTGTCGATGGAAGTAGGGCCGTTTGAAGGAAACTGGGCGGAAGAGTTAGCTGAGGTGTTAAACCTCCTCAGCGCGGACGAAGTTTTTGTTCCTAGTCCGGTGCATTGGCAGATAGTTTACCGAAACGTGGCGGCGGGGGAGACCTTCTTGGAACGGGTGAAAGAGATGTTCTTAGATGAGGAGGAGGATTCCACTGATGAGGAGGATGGGGACGAGATAGAGGACTGGGACTTCTGAGGCGGGGGGCTTACCTGGGGAAAACGGGTTGTCGACTATGTGCACGTAGGGAGCGATGACCCGAGAACTCGAGCTATGGGACTGCACATGGGAACCAAGACGAGTCGGAAGGGGAGTAGAGATGTCAATACCGCCGAGCAATGAATTGAAGGGGACCACATGTGATTGGCGGGGGTATGAGATTGTGCCGGAGTTATCGTACCTATGGATAGAGCGTGTCTGGAACCCGTTGAGGGAAAAGGAAGGATGGGAAGAGATTGCGGAAGGAAGGGTGGAGTCAGTCGGGACGATCGTTCTCTCTGAACAAGGTTGGCACCTGTTCTGCGCAACGCTCGCGGCAGGACAGAACCCGATGTGGCTTTTAGGGGGCGCTGAGGCAAGGGCTCGGTAGGCGGGGGAAAGGTTTGCTAACAAAGGTTGGGATATGGTCAGTAGTAGAGTCGTGATGAGAGGATGGAAGGACTTTAAACCGCCTGGCACCCGAACCAAGATCTGGGTGCCCGAGTTCGTGGCGGACTGGTTTGGGGGTTTTGATCACGTAACAGAGGTAGCCGACACGATGGAACGAATACACGTGAAGTGCGCATGGCTGGGAGATAAATTTTATAAGACGTCCTTGAAATTCGGTCCCTTCCACGGCGATAGAGCCCGGGAGATTCTTATCATTTTGGATATTGAAAGGAATGACCGAGAGGTGGCGCCGGAAACTCGGGAGGCCATAATCCGCCGTGAGGTGGCAGTGACACCCTGTTATGTGGACGATGTGTTCAAACTGTTCGAGGTACTGTGGTTCGACTAAGCGCAGGAAAACCGTGGGGCCAAGCAAATATGGGAAAAATTGCTAAGATAAGGGAATGGGATGTCTGACCATTGTAGGGTTCAGTGCGGATCGCGAGCCAGGAGATCAAAGGCGAGTGCGCGATGGTGCGAAGAAGGACGTTCCTTGAGGAACGCCCCTTGGGCATTGAACTGCCTAGGGAAGTACCGGGTGGGATAGAGGTTAGCTTGTCGGCGGCAAGTGGAGGCTGGCACCAGGTGGCGGATTGGGTCGGAGTCGAACTTGCAGAAAACATGGTTTACTTGGTGACGAAAGTTGAGTGGCGTGCGGACGAGAATGGGGAATGGAACCCGGACCCGCGGGGGCATGTGCGTGCAAAAGGACGGCTGTATGTGTCGGAAAATGGGTGGAGGGAGTTCAGAGTCCGACTGACATCTGGAGAAGACCCATTGAGCATGTTTGAAGGGGCGTGGTAGTTAGTGTGGCGAGCGGGATTTGAGTTCCCAGATCCGGGGGTTGACGATGTAATAGCGGACCTTAGGGTAGCCATGGTCGGGAGTTTTGAATTGCCTAGTGAAAATGTACGAATGAGGTTGCCGCCCTTCCTGCTGGAAAGGCTAGGCGGTCTGGGACTTGTTATACAAGCAGTAGCTGACCTCGCAAGCCTGACATATGAAGATGCGATGGTACATCGAGAATACTATTGGGCCTTCCTAGAAATAGGCCCGTTCAGTGGAGAGCAGAAGTATGAGGTGCTGCGCATCCTGCGTGCTGTGTTTAGCACCAGGCCGAGGGCTCCGGTCGTGGGAAGTGAGGTCCTGTGGAGTGTCGTCCGACGGGAAATAAGTCAAGGGATGGTGTACGTGGATGATTTGTACCGATTGTATGAGTCGATGGACGTAGGGACGGGCCAATAAAAGAGGTCAAGGAAAGAAAAGGAAGGTTCAAGCTAGAGACCGGGGAGTGTTCGGGCGCGAGCTGAAGATTAAATGAAATAAGTAAAACCTCTTGCTGTTTAAACTGTGCAGGGGACTACCAAGTCAAAAATGGCGATGAGACGTGCCCGGATGTTGCGACGGTCCACACACCCGCGGCCACTCACAGAAAGTGGAGGCGGATGGGAGGTATCGCTCCCAGCAAGGTACATGATCCAAGGACTGGACATCGAATGGAGGGCCGTGACCCTGGGAAGAGGTGAGGCGTTCATGATGGTGGAATGTTTGTGGGATGGTATGAGGATTAACAGGGGACCGGGAGACGATCTGTACACCGATCTTAGGGTGGCGGGGATCGTATACCTGCCGAAACTTGGATGGTAATGCTAGGAACAAAATTGGCACTAGGTCACGGGTTGCTACCAATCTTCCTGAGGGCTACTAGGATGTTGAACAGGGTGGGCCAGGAAGTGCGGGGGAGAAGAAATGTGGGATTAAGAACTCGGGTGGAGGTCGGAGGTTGGCGAGAATTTAAGGCCCCAATGACTGGGTTTAGGTGGCGAGTACCTCGTTTCATGGTGGACTTGGTAAGAGAGCTAAGGACCTGGTGGATTCGACCCTGGTTTGGATCCACCACTTCCGTCCACAAACGACGGAAATGTTTTACGACGTGTCGGTCAAGCATGGGTCGTTCTGCGGAAATCAGGCATGGGAGTTGCTTGACCTCATCGAAATCCTGATATTCGATTTGCCTCGCTTAGCATTTGAGGAATTTGAGTCGATAATCGTCAGGGAAATAGAGATGGGAGAAAACTACCTTGCGGGGGTGGCTGACCTGTTCGAAGAACCGGACGAGCAAGGCAGGCCTGATGGACCAGCATGAGAAAACGCGTCAGGAAAAGATGAGGAAATAAGGGACGGGTACTAAGATAAGAAGGCAACTATCACCATAAAAGGGGGGGGGCAGTGGTTGGAGTTTTGTCCGACCCGATAGCGCGGCAAGGAGGAACTAGGAAGACCACCCGCACCAGAAAACTCTGGGGCATTTGGAGGTCGAAAAGCCAAAAGGGCCATCCTCGATAAGGAGGCCACTGGGCTCAAACACCGCCCTAAGAGCCAAAGCGCGGCAGTAATAAAATGCCAAGCAGCTGCGGTAAGTACCCCGGCGGGAGAAAACCTGAAGGAAGCCCTGGGAAAGAAAAGTCAGGAGAGTCGGACCGATTAATGTAAGACGCAAAAAAACATGGGAATAGGCGGGGTTTAGGGCCGGGAATATGGCAGTTATGAACAACCGGCCATTTTTTTTGCAATTTTTTTTTCCATGTGCAGGCTAGGTAAATAAATGGCGACTGAGTAAGGGATCGATGACCAGCAGAGCGGAGGGAATCAGGGCACGAATGGGGATGGGGAACGAAATGAGGGATCAGCGAGGGATCGAGAGTCAGCCAAATTGGAAGGAACCTGAGAAGACAGAAAGGACCTCTCAACTGGAGAAAGCTCGGGGAAAGCTGGGGGTAGCAAAAGGGGACCTCAGAAAAACAGGGAAGGGGGAAACGATATGAGAACAAGCCCTCGGAACTCAGCAGGAGCCACCCCTAAAAAGACAAAAGTCTCGGATGCCAGTCGAAAAGTGGCAGAGATGAAAAAGCGGATTGCAGAATTTAAGGCAAGGCTTATCGAGCAGATGATGGCCGAGGATGAGGAGGACCCCCAGGGCACAGGGTCACGTGAGGGACGCAGGACTGGTCAGGACGAGGCCAGGTATGAGGGGAAGGATAATAGCCACAAAGGAACGCCTAGCAAGAAGGGGAGGACAAGAACGACCCCCCGGCGGAGGGGACCAAAAACGCTATGACCCCGCCTGCCATCGACAGCGGCACTAGCCGACTGCCAGCCACGCCGAAAGTAACAGGGGCGTGCGACGGACTCTGGAGCCTTAGGGAAAAGGTGCTAGGATGGTTTGACCCAGAAGGAACGTCGAAAACCAGGGAGAAGCAGAGGGAAAGCAAGGAAGGGGAAGGGACCAGTGCAGCTGGAGAAGCGGGTAGCTCCGAAGGTGGTCTCAAGAGGATAGTCACCACCCTCACCCGGGCACTAAACAAGAACCAGGGATATCTCGCAGATGCAAAGAAGAAACTCACATTCGATGGGGCAAACATTACGGAGTTTTTGATAGACTATGAGAACCTAGCAGCCTTACTAAAATGGACAGAAGAGGAAAAGATGGAGCACCTAGGGCAGCACGTGTCGCTAAGCTTGGGAAGGGACATTATGGCCATCGTCGCGTCCAGTGGATCCTGGAAAGAAACCAGGAACGAGATGATGAGGAAATACCTGAAGGCAGAGAAAATGGCAACAGAGGCCGAATTAGCAGCAGTCCAGAGGAAAAACTATGCGACTTACAACGATTTCCTAAGGGTGTTTACGTTAGTGGCGCTGCGAATTACCGGGGTAACGGACCGCATAATGAGTAAATACTTCCTCAGGCAGTTCTCCGAGTTTGATAAGGATAAGATTCTGTCAGCATACCAGCAGACCGTTCATTTTTTAGGAGAACGATCCCATAAGGGAGTGTGCGAAAATACAAACCCGTAGGGAAGAAGGCCAAGCCGGTCTCGATCCTAGTAGAAACATCAAGGGAAGAGGTCATGGAAAAAGAAGAAGAGATCCTACGGATTATAAGGGAGAGGCGGGCAACAGAAGGACATCACATACCAGATGAGGTAGCAGATACCATGAAAATAAGAGTGAAAGGGTTTCTAACAGCAGAGGAAACTCAGTTGATAAGGAAGGCGTGTCAGGAGTTCCATTTAGCTTTCGCTTTCAATGATCACCAGAAAGGGCGGTTGGACGCAAAGCTAGTTCCTCCGGTTAGGATCCACACGGTAGAGCATGAATGCTGGAATGATAAAGGACCTGCCTACGAGTTAAGGATAGCAGCGGAAGTCACTGACCTGCTTAGGGCCAAGATAGATTCGTTCGTGGCTGAGCCCACCGCATCCCCTTATGCGAACAAGTGGTTCATTTTCCGGAAGCCCAACAAGACGCTCAGATGGATCCAGGCCTTGCAGAAGCTCAATGCGGTAACAATTAGGGATGCAGGCTCGCTCCCACAGGCGGACTTGCTTGCCGAATCTCACGCCGGGTGGAGCATTTACTCCCTCATAGACCTGAAATCAGGTTACGACCAGTTGCCACTTGATGCGAGGGATAGACCGTATACCGCAATGCACACCCCCGTAGGACAATTGCAGATGCAAGTGACCCCTATGGGCTTCACAAATGCGGTAGCAGAGGCGCAGAGGAGGATGCTCGCCGTCGCAGGGGATATATTTCCGGAAAAGTGTGAACCTTATATAGATGATAATCCCGTAAAAGGCGCAAGGTACAAGGACGAGGCGGAGGTCCAGTCGGGTGTACGAAAGTTTGTTTGGGACCACTTGCAGGATATTAAGTACTTGCTCCAACGATTCCTAGTCTACAATATTATTGCAAGTGGACCCAAGAGCATCCTGGACGTCCCGGAAGTAACCATACTAGGGTTTCGTTGTGGGGCCTATGGAAGGAAACCTGACCCAACAAAGACTGATAAGATCTCCCAATGGCCAACACCCTTGCGCACCACGACGAAAGTACGAGCCTTCCTAGGGGTGGTCGGATTCTGGAGGATCGTCATCAAATAATTTGCCAAGATAGCTGAACCAATCCGCGCAATGATCAGGGAAGGGGGTACTATGGAGTGGACCGAGGATAGGAAAACGACAGCACAGACCCTCAAAGATATTCTGTCCTCCGATTAGGTTACCTTAGCAGCACCCTGCTTTAATGACGAAGTAGGACGATCCTTCATCCTAGAGACAGATGGCGGCCCAATGACAGTAGGGGGCGTATTGATACAGAAAAACGAGGAAGGCAAGGAAAGACCAATGAGATTTGAAAGTAGGACCCTGAATTCGGCGGAACGGCGGTACTCACAGTTCAAGAAGGAGGTCTTAGCGATCCTGCATTGCCTTAAGACCTTCCAGGCATACCTGTTTGGAAGGAGATTTATCCTAAGGATGGATCCCACCAACGTCGCCGGGGCTCTAAAGAATTACAAGCCTATAGATCCGACCGTCGGCAGATGGATAGGCTTCATATGGCAATTTGACTATAAGGTCGAGCGAATTGCGGGGCTTCGAAACAGGGCAAATGGGCTGAGCAGAGTATGTATCACGCCGGAGGGAGTAGAGGACGCGGAACCAATTGACGCCTTCCTAGAATACGAAGGGGGGACCCTTGTTGTGGATAACGAAATGGCAGACTGAACGCTTACAACAGGTCAGTTGCTGATTCAGACCTTGAAAAAGGGCACGCCTGCAGTGGTCGCAGAACTCAGGGAAGGATCAGTCACCACAGTCAGGCGCAAAGAGGAAAATGACTCGTGGGGAGCAGAAGTTGGGGCCAGAGAGGAACTGATGGCAATGGCCAAGGAAGGGGGACGGGACGCCGTAATGACGTTGGCCGAAACCTGGGCGCAGAAGGAATGCCAGTACCTAGTCAACCAAACCCGGGAAGAGCAGGATACGGATCGTAAGGAACAAGAGTTCTTCCTCATACATATGTATGAGAGCGTCTTTAGAGAAGTCGGTCTACTGCTTGTAGGGAACAAACATCCCACGGAAGTCAGCTCCAAGGCAAGCGAGGAAGCTGAGAAGTACGTCTTAAGAAATGGTCACCTGTTTAAGAAAGAGGAAGGGATGATGCCTAGGCGTGTCGTTTGTGGGAGGTCTAGGCAGTTGGACGTAATTCAAATAATGCATGATGGGTTAGCTGGAGGTCACCGGTCGTCAAAGGGGACATTGCAAAAATCGTGCCCCTGTATTTCTGGTCAGGAATGGCAGGCATGGTCGCAACGTACTGTCAGACGTGTCTGATATGTCAAGAGAGGAGCTCTATACGGGTTTACGAGCCCCTTAGACCCACTCGGGTACTGGGACCAGGGCACCTTGTTCACCTCGATCTCGTAGTCATGCATGTATCGACGGATAGGTATAGGTACATCCTGGATGCAAGGGATAACCTCAGTGGCTATGTAGAGGCCGTAACCCTCAAAAGGAAGACAGGGAAAGGAGTGGCTGATTGGGTAGAAGACTTCTACCTAAGACACCCCTTTGTGCGCATGTTATGGGACAGAGTTTGTCAACCAGGAAGTGTTGAGCATGCTTAAGGCCTTGTGTTTACGTATTAAGATCACGGAATCATACCACCCTGAGGCAAATGCACCAGTAGAAAGGGGCCATCGGACACTGAAGAACACAATCGCGAAGCTGGCAGCGGATGACTTGGGAAATTGGTCGCGGTATCTTAGGCAGGCAGTCTTCTCTGAGAACGTGACACCAAACAGAACGACGAGGTGTATTTCGACAGAACTCTGGTATGGAAGGGAAATTGATTTCCCAGTAGAAGCTCTCGTTCCTACTTGGAAGAGGCTAGATGACCATCCGCACTTGACTACAGAAGAGTTAATCGTCGCACGTTGCCAGCAGGTCGCTAGAAATGAGGAGGCACTAAAGGAAGTAGTTAACCGCGTGATGGATAGTCGGATGAGGGACAAAGCAAGATGGGACCAGGTGAAGAACATTCGAAAGGAGCCGCTCCAGGTGGGGGAAAAGGTGTTAGTCAGGAACTCGGCACTAGAAAACACATGGTCTGGGCAGCTGGGAAAGAGATTCAAAGGGCCTTACAGGATCGCGAAGCGGGTGGGATTGAACACGTTTGAACTGGAGGATCTCGATGGTACTAGCATAAGGGGACCATTCCCGTGACGTAGGCTGGTCAGATTCTTCAGCAGGGACCCTGTGGAACAATGGCTACAAAAGGCCCAGGATGGGGAAACAGGGGAATCAACAACATGAAAAACAGACAACTGGTTATGATTCTGGACCATCCTCCTGAGGAAGTGATTATGACCATAGGGGTTGCTCGTTTTGTGTGTCTTATTCTCTGAGGGAACATGGGATGACTGCCTGGGCTGAGTGTGAGGATGAAAGCCTGGGACAATGTACCATAGTTTGGTGGGGCAATTTTGGGGAACTGCCTACATGAGGTGCCTGCAAAGGGAACAATGTCCCTAAGGAATGATGGGACCACTAACTACGTGGGGGCAACTAAGGGTCCTGGGAAGTCCTGCAATCTGCAAATGGGGATGGGAGGGTGTGTGTGTGTATGAGGGGTGTGGTGACAGTTATGTACGAACAGGGCCAGGCAAAAAGAAGAAGGCAGCAAGAAAATAATAAGATGGAGTTTGGAAATGAGAATGACAATAATGCAATTAATAGGCCGGAAGAGGGACAATCGTCAAGACAAGTTGGAGAGCGTAGCTCCAGGAAAAGGAAACTGTATGTGGGTTTGATCACAACCTGGTGGTGAATAGAGGGGGCAGAAAACAAAGGGTCAGAGGGCCGTCACCACTGAAGGAAGGGGAGCCAATAGGGTTGTCTTCAGACAGTGACCGTAGTAGTAAGGAAGAGGGGAATCCGGAAAAAAGGCAAAGGCTGGAGGAGGGAAACCCAGAGGAGGGACAACGGCCGGGAGAGAATGAGCCCGTTGAGTTCATTGACCTCACCAGCAAAGAGGAAGAAGATGAGGTAACGACGCCCACTAGGAAAGAACGGGGAAGGGAGAAGGAACCGGGTCAGGAAAAGGACAAATGAATAGAAGAGTTCGGGCCTACCTTCAGCGACTGGTTTGATCAATGGGGCACTATTTTGCGGTTTCAGTGGATAACGAAGGTAAGGGCAAAACTGGGCAGGGGAGAGGATCTATCCCCAACAACCTTTTTCACAGAGCAGACACTCCTTCAATTGCAAGGAATAAAGAGGCATATGCAGCAGGAAATGGAGGACCGTGCAAGAAGGGAGGCTCGACGCAGGCCACCCATACATTAAAGGAATAGCAGGTACAATTGGGGATAGTTTGAGATCGGGGAAGGGTTGGTACCTGGGCAGCAAGAACTGCCGTCTTTCTTTTGTGCATTTGAACTTCTTTCTGAATAAACTATGATGAGACAACTGCTAAGCTCGAAGCGGCTAAGGGATGGGTAATGAATGCTACTTCATATAAGTCGTTGCTTCCTCGGGAAAAGGCACGAGAGCGTTTTTGCACTTAGAATAGAACTGTGAATGGCTGGGGTGGCTAAGGGAAAGTAAGGGGAAAACAGAGGGACTTAGATGAGACGAGTCTGTAATGTGACCTTTGCATTCGAACTCTGTCTCCTTGTTTTTTCAGGACCGCGATGAAACTACTTTTTGGATTGAGGAAACTAGTAAGGGGTTGGGCGGCTTGTGTTACTTTGTATGAGTATTCGCTTCTTTGGGGAAATGTGAACTTTTTTTGGGTAGTAAGAAAAGGGGATCAGGGATGATTGACTCTGAGAGTGGGCAAGAGCATGAGAACTACTGGGATTGAGAAAAATAGTCGATGGCGAAAGCTCTCATCTTTTTGAACCGTGTATCCATGATTGAGTGAGTCGTTGCATAAAGTCCTTGTGAAGAGGTTAGGGGACCTATGGGTAAAGAGATATCCTCTTCCCTAGAAGCCTAATCCAACCTACCCTAGACAAGTCCAGAGCTTTCAGAAGATATGAAAAGTCGGAAAAGTGGCAGGGAAACTTTGAAATGATCCAGTATTTCCTGTAATGGTTGAACGGCCGGGAGGGCTAGTGCTGCTTGAGGTCGCGAGCCTCAAATTGAGCATTAGACGCTAAGTCGGATGTATGGATGGACATGAGAGTGATAAATGATAAGAGAAAGAGGAAGAATCATGCGTAAAAACCCAAAAGGATAACCATCTTCTAACCCCCGAGACGAGAATAGGATCCGTGTCCTCGAGGCCCACCCCCTCGGGCGCTAACATTACGATGGATAAGGGGTCGCCCTAACCAGGTTGTCCAATTGGAATGGACAAGGGTGCCCCTAACCAGACTGTCTCGTTGAAATGGATAAGAATAGCCCTAACCAGGCCATTCGACTTGGAAATGGAAAGAACGACCCTCACCAGGATGTTCGAAATGGTCCCTGACAAGGGTCATTCTTCGGAATTGGCACTGGGTCCCCTTGCATGGCTGCTTGAAATGCATGATACTAGAAAGAGTTGAGTCTTGAAAGAGATATTGGAAAGAGCTGAGCTTTGGAAGAGATATTGGAAAGAGCTGAGCTTTGAAAAAAAATATTGGACTCAGCCTTGGAAAAGATTTTCGACTCAGCCTTGGAAGAGATATTGCATTAGGCATTGGAATTGGACTGAGCATTGGAATGGGATTGAGCATGAAAGTGAGACTGAAGGCATTGGAATTGGACTGAGCATTGGAATGGGATTGAGCATGAAAGTGAGACTGAGCATGGACATTGGATTGAGTACTGGAAATTGCACTGCATAAACAAGGGACCCTGGGCAACTTGAAATGGACTTGGGAAAAACACTGAAATGGAATTTCTCCTTTCTTCTAGTCTTTGGCCTCGGCAAGAGGGGGATACCGGTACATGCAACGCGAACCCAAAACCTCTATCCCTTTGAGGGAAAAAGTCTCTGTGCGACCTGTTCCTCTTCGAGAGGATGAGGGTTAAAGGACTAAGGCACCTACCACTTCGATCGGTGCGGGACGTCTAGAACCACCCCCGACAATGAGCTCTAGTCGGGGAGTTCAAACTGCGCCTCCTGCTGAACGCCTAAACGTCAAAGGGTGAGAAAGCCAAATGGGCGAGAGAGCCATTCTTATCGAAGTCTATTCTGCTACTCCCCAACCACACGCCATGTCATAGAGGGGTGCCATGGCCGTTTGGGTTGGAGCACGGCTGCCCGCGCTAAGTTGGGCGGCACTGTCCAAGAGGAGAGGCTGGGCAAGGTACCGGGTGGAGTCCGCCACCACCACGGGGCATTGACACTGCCCTGCCGGGACATTACAATCGTTTCGGGACTAATTGCGAGGTCTTCGTAACTGCACTCGCGGACTAATCGAGAGCCCCAACTTTCTTGAAAGGAAGAGGCCGGAATCCAAAAAAACACCACTCGGGAGGAACGATTCGCGAGGAACACTCTTACGGCTAGACGAGGCCCTGGCAGACTTGGATTGGACCTACCTGACAAACGCGGGGAGAAACCTCGGTATTGGTGCTCGCCGCGTGAGAGAATAAAGATCGAACCGAGTAAAAGGATGGGGCGTCGTTCGCTGGGGAGGAACTGATCACTCCTCCTTTTGTGAAGCGGATGGGCTTGTGTCCTTGACTTGCGGTTGGCGGGCCAAAGGTCTGCGTACCTCCGAGTGAGAACCAGTCACGCGATGGGGACATCGCATTTTGAGTGGGGGGAAGGTGCGCCATCTACCAATAAATACACATGGAAAAAGACCTATAATTGGTTTTGCATAAGCCTGAGAAAAGGGGCCTGGCAAGACGCCCAGAAAAGAAAAAGACTTGTAATTGGTTTGCATGGGCCTGAGAAAAGGGGGGCCTGACAAGAGGCCGGGACAAAAGGGAACTGAGCAAGTGACTTGAAAAAAAGGGCCTGGCTGGACGACTAGGAAGCAAAGGGCTAGTATGATTGATTCTGAATGGACCGGTAAGCGGAGGTATGGCTGTGTGACTGACCTGCATGAGCTTGAAAAGAAGAGCCTGGCAAGGCACCTAGGGAAGAAATGTTCAAAGGGAAGAACTGAGCAGCACACATGAAAATCAAGACAAGGGAAAAAGGCAAGGATTGGCAAAAGGGTGATATGCATGCGGAACTGGCAGGATCTGAGAAAAGTCGGGAAGAATGAACCAGGAAGAATGCACGTGGATTTGACCATGCCTAAGCTTTGGGGAGAGGAAGACTTGTACTGGAAAGGTGTGGATGTCCTAAGAGTAATGAATGAGACGAAACCAGGATGGTGCCTGCTTGAGAATGTTTTCTCGATGAAATGGGAAGATAAATTTGAGATTACGAATCCAGCCTTCAAGACATTGTCAAGAGCGAGAAATAACGTACAATGAAAGACCAGTGCAAGACATGTCTGATGATGGACCTCCTCAAAGGGCAATGCTAGACAACTTGATGAGGAAAGAAAGAAAAAAAGAGACATCGAGCTGCTTAAAGACCTTGACGTGTTGCTAGCTCACACCTGAAGGAAGCCATGGCGGATGATCCTTGTGACATTCGCCGCCAAAATTTTCCTCTTACCTCGGTCCCTGGGAAGGGTGATGGGTTTGTCGTCCTCTTTTTTGTGGGACGATACCGGAGGTTATTGGGAAGCTCTTGGGTATTTGGGAGTTCCAGTGAGAAAGAGATACAGTTGTGAGACGGACGTTGATGCACAAAGAGTGTTACGCGCTCGTTACAAAGACATTATTGAGCTTGGGAACGTTACGCAATCCAAAGGAAACCCGAAACAAAACCTTGACCCCTCCATACCCTCCCCCGCCCCAAAGGGCGAAAACTTAAAGAAGGACTCGAGAAAAGAGTGGGAAAGACAAAAGGAACCCTGGCAAGCTAACTACTCATCCCACCCCACTCCTCTTCCCTGTCTGTCTATCACTCCAAAATTCCTACTGACCATGGATTGGTGTGCGATGAGGACATCACGAATGAGTGGGGGGAATATGTCGGGACTGGTGAGTCCCGAATGATTTCCCATCACTCGAGAGACTGTATATGACCAATTTGTGCACGGCAGAGAAAACCGGAGGCAGGAATGTTGGAAAGATCGGAAGCGTGGGCACAGACAATAGGAAGCTAGAGGCTGCCCAGAGTCGTCAGGAGCGCCAAACTAGAAAGGGACTGTCTAAGCCGAAAGCGGCAAAGGACTGTGAGAGAATAGCAGGGGCGACTCTTTCCCCAAGGACGGAGAAGGGCCGCCGGGAAGTCGGTAGTAGCATAGGAGGTGCGCAACAAGGGAAGGAAGGAAGTAGGAAGGGACAGGGCGCAAGGAGCTGACGTGACATGGCGGTAAGAGGGCCAAGGAGGCCGCCGGTTGGATGGGAGCCGGCACCCGGAACGGAACAGCATGCGGGACGCAAGAGGAACGGGGAGCGGAGATCGCCGTAAGGCGGAAGGACGTTAGGAGCACCAAGGAAAGACGTGGTACAGGTGGGGCAGGAGTGTCGAGGACCACATGGGATCGAAGGACGGGGCGGTACCGGGAGGACAAAATGCCGAGGACCACATGGGACCAAGGGACGGCGTGGTGCCGGCAGGGCGAAGTACCAGGAACCGCGTGAGACCAAGGGAAAGACGTAATGCAGGCGGGCCGAAGTGCCAGAGACCGCGTGGGCCTAGATAAAATGGCGACACCAGCGAAACCACTAGCAGGACGGGTATCGACGGGATAAAGTGTCGGGAGCCGCCGACAGGGGCTGAAGGTCGGAGCCGTCGGCGGAATAATCGGCGACCAGCCAAAAGGGGGGGGCGCACGAGAGCGGGTCGTCACCCGGGATGACGCCGGGAAAAAGGGGGGACTAGAAACAATAAGGAAAAGAGGAGAAGTCGGGCGCTGACGGAAATTGTCGACAGAACGGAGGAGACGGGCGTGAGACGGGAAAGACGGAGGGCACCTGGGATGATCCAAGGGGGACCCTGGATCGAGCGCAATAATGATAAAAATAAGATAACATAATGTCACGTGGACGGGCCAGGGGTCCAGATGAAAATGCTAAGTACCGCCACGGCAAGCGCCGGGGGGAGGTGCCGAAGGGAAAAGAGGGGGGAATAGTGGTAATGAGGGGGGCGGCCAACAGTCCGGATTATTCCGGATTAGCCAGGGCAAAGAAAAACAAAGTCCCGAGGGCCCGCATGAAGAAATGGTTGTCCGGAGAAAATTGGAGCAAGGGGGTTTTAAGCTGGGAGCGGCGGCAGCCAAAAGAAGCCCCATAGGACCGTGGGGGTGCCACTATTGCAATCCGAAGTGCAACGGCCACCTGCCGACTGCAAAATCGGACCTTAGGAAAGGTCCAACAACTAGAAAGAGGAGACATAGTTGTTGGACACTTGCCCCAACAGTAATAAAAGAGAAAGGAGAGAAAAGGGGGAGAATGAGACAAAGGAGGAGGAATGGGTGGAGAAAAATGTGCCGCCAGGTTGGGACTTCAGCGGTAGGGACTGTCAGGTCTCAATGATGACCTCATCCCTCCTAGATCCTAGGAGGGCAGTCCGGACTGCAGAGATAAGGTTCTTGGGGCATTATCTCTGCAAGGAAAGAAAAATGCTGATGTGAGTTGGCCGGCTCATTTTTGGGCCTTAGATCTGAAATCTGATCTTGCTGAGGAGGAGATCTAGCCGTTTTTTGTGGGCTGACACAAAACGGCTAGCTCTGGAATGAATTGGAAGCAAAATGGAGGGAAAACAAAGAGAGGAACAAGACAAAACTGCGTATTGGGCCCAAGGATTAGGCCAGATACACCAAAAAAATTGAAAATTGAAGTAAAAGGCTCAAATTTGGACCAAGGGGGGCTTGGGGTAGCTCGGAATGATGAGAACCATGGATCTCAGCCATATCCAAGGCTGAGATTGGAGCCGCCACTTGAAAAAAAATGCAACGGCCTACCCAAAAGAGGCGTAGACCAGGAAAAAGATGAAAAATGGGCCTTTAGGCCCTTAACATTCCATAAAGGCAGCATTTTGGGTAATGGTACCCCAAAAGGCAGCTCTTTTTGAAGTAAAAGGAGGCCGGGGTAGGCCAAGGGGTAGTCCGAGGTGGTACTTGCCTTTCGTCCTGCATGTACCTGTCCAAAATGAGGCCCAGTTGCCTCCAGGGAGGCCAAAACCTGAAGTTTGGCCTCTGGGGTACCTCGGTCCACCTAGGGGCACTTGGAGAGGCCTAGAGGTTGGGCGGTCCATGAGAGAAGTCATAGTGGAGTAGAGCAAGGAAGTGAGAATCGGAGCTAGTCTGGAGCCTGGCTATGGTGATAGGGTTGAGGAAGAAGGTCTACCGGCTAGGAGGAAGCAAGGAGAGTGGTCCGCTATAGCCCTCAGGCTGTGAGGTAGGAGGAGAGGCTGAAAAGGGGTCCCCTTAGCCCTTCTAGAGGGAAGGACTCCATAGCCTTAGAGGTAGGAGCCTGTCATAACTTGAGAGGGGGTGTGAGAGAAAGAGGAGAGAGCTTGGAGGTGGGGAAGTCATACCCAAGGAGCTAGAACCAAGCTTGGGATTCCTTTGCCTAAAAGGCCAGCAAGAGGTGAGTGAGAAAGGAGGGAGCTTTCTCCTCCTTCTCCTTTCTTCTTCTTCCTCTTCTTCCTCTTCCTCTTTTTCTTCTTCACCTTCCCCCTCTCCTCCTTCTTCTCCTTCTTCTTCCTCTTCTTCCTCTTCTTCCTCTCCTCCTTCCTCTACTCCCTCTTCTTCCCCTCCTTCTTCCTTTCTCCCTTTTTCATCTTCTCCCCCCTTTCAATCTTGTGTTTTTACTGATTTGGATGCTTGTGTGTGTTGCGATTCGTCTTGGGATACTTCAGTGAACTTTCCTCTAGTGTTGATACTCTCAATCTTGTGTTTTTACTGATTTGGATGCTTGTGTATGTTGCGATTTATTTTGGAAAACTTCGATGAACTTTCCGCTAGTGGTGATACTCTCAATCTTGTGTTTTTACTGATTTGGATGCTTGTGTGTGTTGCGATTCATCGTGGGATACTTTGGTGAACTTTCCCCTTGTGTGGATGCTATCAATCTTGTGTTTCTACTGATTTGGATGCTTGTGTGTGTTGCGATTCATCTTGGGATACTTTGGTGAACTTTCCTCTAGTGTTGATGCTATCAATCTTGTGATTTTACTGATTTGTGTGTTGCGATTCATCTTGGGATACTTCGGTGAACTTTCCCCTAGTGTTGATTCTCTCAATCTTGGGTTTCTACTGATTTGGATGCTTGTGTGTGTTGCGATTTATCTTGGGATACCTCGGTGAACTTTCCCCTAGTGTTGATGCTCTCAATCTTGTATTTTTACTAATTTAGATGCTTGTGTGTGTTGCGATTCATCCTGGGACACTTCGGTGAACTTTCCCCTAGTGTTGATGCTCTCAATCTTGTGTTTTTTCTGATTTGGGTGCTTGTGTGTGTTGCGATTCATTTTGGGATACTTCGGTGAACTTCCCCTAGTCTTGATGTTCTCAATCTTGTGTTTTTACTGATATGGGTGCTTGTGTGTGTTGCGATTCATCTTGGGATACTTCAATGAACTTTCCCCTAGTGTTGATGCTATCAATCTTGTGTTTTTACTGATCTGGGTGCTTGTGTGTATTGCGATTGATCTTGGGATACTTCGGTGAACTTTCCCCTAGTGTTGAGGCTCTCAATCTTGTGTTTTTACTGATCTGGATCCTTGTGTGTGTTGCGATTCATCTTGGGATACTTCGCTGAACTTTCCTCTCATGTTGATGCTCTCAATCTTGTGTTTTTACTGATTTGGATGCTTGTGTGTGTTGCGATTCATCTTGGGATACTTCGGTGAACTTTCCCCTAGTGTTGATGCTCTCAAAATCTTGTGTTTTTACTGATTTGGATGCTTGTGTGTGTTGCGATTCATCTTGGGATACTTCGGTGAACTTTCCCCTAGTGTTGATGCTTTCAATCTTGTCAATTTGCTGATTTGGGTGCTTGAGTGTGAAGCCCGTCATCTTTGGAGACTTCGGTGATCATTCCCCTAGTGTAGATGTCCTTAATCTTGTCATTTTGCTGATCTGGATGCCTATGTGTGCAGCGCTTCATCTTGGGATACTTCGGTGATCTTTCCCCTAGTGTAGATGTCATCAAACTTGTCATTTTGCTGATTTGGGTGCGTAGGTGTGAAGCGCTTCATCTTGGGAGGCTTCGGTGATCTTTTCCCTAGTGTAGATGTCATTAAACTTGACATTTTGCTGATTTGGATGCTTATGTGTGCAGCGCTTCATCTTGGGATAGTTCGGTGATTATTCCCCTAGTGTAGATATCATCATTATTGTCATTTTGCTGATCTGGATGCGTATGGGTGCAGTGCTTCATCTTGGGATACTTCGGTGATCTTTTCCCTAGTGTAGATGTCATCAAACTTTACATTTTGCTGATTTGGATGCTTATGTGTGCAGCGCTTCATCTTGGGATACTTCGGTGATCTTTCCCCTAGTGTAGATGTTATCAAACTTGTCATTTTGCTGATTTGGGTGCTCAGGTGTGAAGCGCTTCATTTTGGCAGGCTTCGGTGATATTTCCCGTATTATAGATGTTATCAAACTTGACATTTTGTTGATTTGGATGCTTATGTGTGCAGCGTTTCATCTTGGGATACTTCGGTGATCTTTCCCCTAGTGTAGATATCATCAAACTTGTCATTTTGCTGATTTGGGTGCTTAGGTGTGAAGCGCTTCATTGTGGGAGGCTTCGGTGATATTTCCCCTAGTGTAGATATCATCAAACTTGCTATTTTGTTGATTTGGATGCTTACGTGTGCAGCGCTTCATCTTGGGATACTTCGGTGATCTTTCCCCTAGTGTAGATGTCATCAAACTTGTCATTTTGCTGATTTGGGTGCTTAGGTGTGAAGCGCTTCATGTTGGGAGGGTTCGATGATCTTTCCCCTGGTGTAGATGTCATCAACCTTGACTCTTTGCTGATTTGGATGCTTATGTGTGCAGCGCTTCATCTTGGGATGCTTCGGTGATCTTTCCACTAGTGTAGATGTCATCAAACTTGTCAATTTGCTGTCCTTGGTGCATGTGTGTATGGCGCTTCCTTCCGGGATACCTCGGTGATGTTTCCCCTTGATAATTTGCTTCCAAACTCACCTTTTTGTTGTCCTTGGTGCATGTGTGTATGACGATTCCTTCCGGGATACTTCCGTGATGTTTCCCCTTGATAATTTGCTTCCCAACTCACCTTTTTGATGTCCTTGGTGCATGTGTGTATGGCGCTTCCTTCCAGGATACTTCGGTGATGTTTCCCCTTGATAGATTGCTTCTAAACTCACCTTTTTGTTGTCCTTGATGCATGTGTGTATGACGTTCCTTCCGGGATTCTTCGGTGATGTTTTCCCCTTGATAGATTGCTGTCAAACTCACCTTTTTGCTGTCCTGGATGCATGTGTGTATGACGCTTCCTTCCGGGGTACTTTGGTGAAACTTTCCCCTTGGTAGATTGCTTTCAAACTCGTTTTTTGGCTGCCTGACCCAAGTATGTGTTGCGATTCACTTTTGGGTACTACGGTAGGCTTTCCCCTAGCAAGGATGCTCCCTAGCTTGTCAATTGGCGGTAGTTATGTGCGTGCATGTGCGTTGCCGTTCCTGGTAACCTGTTCAGTCCACCCCTACCCCTTGCTGTAACTGGTGACCCCGGGTATGTGTATGTGTGTGTGTTGCAGCCCTGGTAGCCTGTTCAATTCACCCTTACCCCTTGCTGTAACCAGTGACAGCCGGTATGTGTATGAGTGTGTGTTGCAGCCCCGGTAGCCCGTTCAGCCCGTCCTCACACTTTGCTGTAACCGGTGGCATGCGGTATTTGTATGTGTGTATGTGTTGCAGTCCCGGTAGCCCAGTTCAGTCCGTCCTCACCCCTTGCTATGACCGGTGACATGCGGTGTGTGTATGTGTATGTGTTGCAG